CTCCTTGGGTGCCTGCTGGGGTTGCAGACCTGAGCCACCTTGAGTGGCTTCCAGGGCCTGGGCTCCATGCACTGATTCGTGCACTGCTCCCTGGCCCCCTGCCAGGGGATGCAGACCTGGATTGCCGCAAGCAGCCCCAAGGTCTGAGCCTCGTGCACTGCTTCATTCACCGATGGGGCTGAGGCATCAGTCTTGGCAAGGAGGGGGTACTTCTGGGCACTGCTTTGCCCACTGGGCAGCTCTTCCTCAGCTCTTCTTAGCCCCTTCTTCCTTCGTCGTCCCCCGACATGTCTCTTGTGTGCTGGGCACACGGCTCCTTTTATTTGCTTCAGAGGCTACACCCCCCCCAAAGTCTTGCTGGACCTGCAAAATGCAGGCTTCACTCAGGCCTGGGAGGCTCCTCACCCCCCTTCCAGGCAAGGCAAGGTTGGATCTGTCCAGCCCTTACCTGATTGGTGAACGGACTCCACCAATCCAAAATGAAGATTTTCCGAGCCCAGGACATGCCAGGCTGATTCAGTAAGTCCGCCACATTTGTAAATATTCCTACTCAGAAAACTTAGTCAATTTGGCCAGGGATAGAAGTTACACATAGACTGGTTTAAGTGATGAGAAACTGGTTTGAACCTGTAACAGAACAGAAATTCAGTGCACATAAACCAATTTCAAAGTGGCTGAAACTGGTTTAAGATAAACCTGGCTGAATGTAGTATCAGACTTAACAGATTGAGGTCAAACTGGTTGATGGAAATTCTGTCCCACACCCCTTCCTAGTTTAAGTTAAATGAGAGTCCCCCAACATCCCAGCATGCTCTGCAGCCCTGGCCTGGGCTATGCTGTCTGCTGCAAAGAGCAGGGCTGGCCCTGCCCCTCTGCTTTGTAGCTAGATCGGGGCAGGGGAGTGACCAGACACTGGCCCAGCATGGCCCCCTGAGACAAAGGGGGAAGGGAGAGGTTTTATTTTACCCTCTCCCCCTAGGGAACCCCAACCATGGTCTGCCTGGCTAGGGAGGAGCAGCCCCTGTCAGGGTTGTCCAGCCCCCCCCCCCATCACTGCTCTAGCAGCAGGGACAGGGGCATGGCCAGATGCCCATCGGCATGGACCCCTGAGGCGAAGGGGGCAGGGAGAGGATTTATTCCCCCCTCCCTCCCCTCTCCCACTGGGGGACCGCAGCTGGGGTCTGCCAGCCCCAATCACCACCTCTACTGATTGCCCTTGGCCAGGCAGACCCCAGCTGGGGTTCCCCAGGGCGAGAGGGGAGGGTGGGAGGAATAAATTCGCTCCCTGCCCCCTTCGCCTCAGTGGGCCATGCTGGCTGGCATCTGGCCACGGCCCCACCCCTGCCACTAGAGCAGTGAGGGGAGGACCCTGATAGGGTCTGCTCCTCCTTGGCCAGGCAGACACTGGCTGGTGTCCTCTGGGGGGAGAGGGAGGGAGGGGGAAAATAAACCTCCTTCCTGACCCCTTCACCACAGGGGGCCATGCTGGGCTGGTGTCTGGCCACACCCCTGCCTCTGCTCAGCTACACAGCAGAGGGGTGGGGCTGGCCCTGCTCTCTGGAGCAGACAGCACAACCCAGGCCAGAGCTGCAGAGCATGCTGGGATGCTGGGGGACTCAACTTAAATTAGGAAGGGGTGTGGGACAGAAGTTCCATCAACCAGTTTGACCTCAAACCATTAAGTTTGATACTACAATCAACCAGGTTTATCTTAAACCAATTTCAGCCATTTTGAGGCTGGTTTATGTGCATTGAACTTCTGATCTATTACAGGTTTAACCCAGTTTCTGATCACTTACACTAGTTTATGTGTAATGTCTGTCCCTAGCCAAATTGACTTACATTTTCTGATAGGAATGAGCCACTGCAGGCATGTGCCTGCATTTCTGGAATCAAAAGTAAATGTCTATTCACATGCTTGCAGGTTCAATCTAACCTTCAAAGACTGAATCAGTTCAGTTTGGGGCTTTTTGAATGTCTGTACTTAGCCTTTATGATTAAAGATGCCCAGGTGGATTTGCTAATAAATGCACTCAAAATCAAAGAATTCCAAAATCCAGATGACATTTATATGAAACAGAACACCCCAAGCATGTGTCCACTAATGTGTCCATGACAGCAATACACCCATATCCTTGCTTCAGATGGGCAAAATAAGCACTTGGCATACAAAAGGTTCTGAAAAACTACACCATTTAAAAAAAATTAAAGTTTAGAGCAGCCATTTGATCACAATACAGGTTCAGTGATGAAAATATTTCTCAATAACCAGAAGATTATATAATTGGTACAATTAATAGTGAAATGTAGTTAACCGTCTTAGTCAGTCAGAAGGCAGATTAGATCTGCACTTTGTAGACTAACTAAATAAGGTATATATATATCAAGCACACTTTTTTATTTTTATTTTTTTTAACTTTGTCTGATGCTGTGGAAGGACCACAGAAAGCAGAAGATAAGGAGATTTCAAAAAGGAATAAGGAATTCAAAAAGGATGTGGAGATGCTTGAGAGAGTCCAGAGAAGAGCCACGCGCATGATCAGAGGTCAGGGAAGCAGACCCTACGATGACAGGCTGAGAGCCCTGGGGCTCTTCAGCCTGGAAAAGCGCAGGCTCAGGGTTGATCTGATGGCCACCTATAAGCTTATCAGGGGTGACCACCAGCATCTGGGGGAACGTTCCACCAGCATCTGGGGGAACGTTTGTTCACCAGAGCGCCCCAAGGGATGACGAGGTCGAATGGTCATAAACTACTACAAGACCGTTTCAGGCTGGACATAAGGAAGAATTTCTTTACTGTCCGAGCCCCCAAGGTCTGGAACAGCCTGCCACCGGAGGTGGTTCAGGCGCCTACATTGAACACCTTCAAGAGCAAACTGGATGCTTATTTTGCTGGGATCCTATGACCCCATTTGACTTCCTGCCCTTTGGGCAGGGGGCTGGACTCGATGATCTTCCGAGGTCCCTTCCAGCCCTGATGTCTATGAAATCTATGAGAGAGAAATTAGAATGCAAAAGACAAGGGAGGGGAGGGAGAGACAGAGAGAAATGGGAGGAAGAGGGCAGTGCTAACAGGGCAGTGCTAAGAGAAAAGTAAACAAGTAGCAAACCCAGAAGAACAAAGGAGGCCAGAAAAACTAATCTATGAGATAAGAATCCATCATCCTTGTTTAAACCATACTTAACAGTTCAATTTATGGACAATTTCTTGTTCTGACATTCAGATTGGTTTCTACATTTTTTTTGCCTGAGAAGAGCAGTTCTGTGGTTAGTGATAGTGTCCAGAGAGGTTGAAGTGTTCTGCCGCAGGCTTTGTGTCTTTCTGCAGCTGATGTCAGATCAGTGTTCATTCATTCTTAAACACAGAAATTGTCCTGTATCTGGTGTAGGCAGCAGAAGGGTACTGTTTGTAGTTGATGGCATATATGACACTGGTAGAGTTGCAGGTGAATGAACTTTGGAGACTGTACTCCTTTTTGTTATTAGGTCCAGTGATGATGTGACCTGTTTTATTGTGCGGACACAGCAGGCATTTGGGTCTTTTGCAAGGCCTTGTTGCCTTGGTGAGGATGGGAGTTGTTAGTCTGTTGTTTGAGAGATGCTGTTTGAGCATGTATTGGCAAATTTAAAGGGAGCTTAAGGTTTTAGCTTTTGCTACAGTCTGGAAAGGAGGTAATTAGCTAATTAGCAAAATATGCTGTTTGTTTAGTAGAAAAAGTTACCTGGTATGGGGAAAAAAAGAAATCAGAGAGGTATTTTAAAAGATATGGTTCAAAATAACTAACAGATTTTCCAATTATTTGAAAATTCTCACAAAAATCTATTCTGTAATCTAGATTCTTGTTCTGTACATAGGAGAGGATAGAATTTAAACCAATCATTGTGAAGAAGTTTACAAACACTTCCATCTTATGAATAAACGCACCCATCCACACATATTGGGGATGGATGCCAAGCTTTTCACAAGTGGGTGGTGATGTTTTGTGTTTTAGGTATGGTTAACTAACAAGGGACACCTTTCAAAGGAAGAGCACCCAACAATTTCAAGTAAAACTACAGAATGTTTATGTGGTTTTTGTTTTGCAGGCTTCAGAAAAAACTTTTTTTTGAAAATATTATACCCAGTATATTTTTAAAAAATTACAAATATTTGGAACTCTGAAATGTTCATCATCTTATTCTATTTCTCCCTTTTCTTTTCTCTGGATTCCCCCCATCTCCCTCACTAAGTTCAAGAAAAGTGATGATGTTTAGAGTTAGGCAGAACAGGATAGGTCACCTTGCTTCTCTCAATTTTTTTATCTCCACTTTTTTCCTTGCTTTACTTTGTACCTTTTCAAAAGGTTTGCCAGCTTTGGAAAAAGATCAAAAAGTAGAAAAAGAAATCATTATTCCTTCTATTATATTCAGTTAAGAAAGGAGGAGAAAAGAAAAAAAGCATTCTAAAAATATTTAAAAATTTTTGATGGTAACCTTGAAAATGTTGAAAAAAGCTGAACGTTTTCCAGTTTTGAAAGTTCACTGTTTACTACCTGCCCCAACCCAAATTAAAGTTTTCAACCAGCCCCAATTAAAAGGACCTGAGTTTCAGAAAGTGACGACATGCTTCCTCTGATAATATGTCCTGTTTAGGTGTCTCAAGTTCAAAATGCATAATTAACTCCTTATATATATATATGCCAATTTCTCTACCTCCATGGACAACAAGAGCAGACATGAACATTTACATATAAAAAAAATTGCTGAACAATAGACATGGTTTATATCTTGTCCCAGAGTGAGAAATTAATTTTTCTCAAAAAAAAAAAAAAAAAAAAATCAAAGTGCAAAATTGAGGTTTTGGCACCTCCCTGAAAACTGGTATAGAGATGAATTTTAGAAGAAATGGTGCTTAGAGAGCATTATAATGTGCCTGATTTTATTTGATGAAAGTTTGTAGCTGGAAATTCATTCATTTTCTTTCATTCTGCTCTGATGCACATTCTGTTTGTGGTTTTCAGTTCCAGTGAGAGGTTCAACGTGGCAGAGAAGATTGCACTGCTAACTTTTATCTCAGCAGTCATACTCATGGCTATCCTGGGGAACTTGCTGGTGATGGTGGCTGTATGCAGAGACAGGCAGCTCAGGTAAGTCAGCACAAAATCCCACTCAATCCTTTCCATTAGAACATATGTTACAAAGTCAGGTGGGTTCTCCACCCCTCTCCCCTGCATTTCTAGGAACACAAAGCAGAATAAAAAACTTTCTCCTTTCTTCTCTGCAACTGTTCAGGTCACAGCAAAGTCAAACTTCTATACTGTTCTCAATATGTCTGGATTTAGATTTATACCACAGAAGCACGATCCTTTTATTATCCATTTTCTACATTTTTAGCACTCCAGATGTCAAGAACAGATAAGTCACTTCGAAGAAAACCACACACAAGGGAGCTCTGGAGAAGCAGTAAGGCTTCTTCCCTTTCCAACTCCAGTTCTCCTTTTAACAAAACATGTCAGAAAAATGTACAGGTTGGGCCCCAAGTCTGTCTGTCACGTTAAGCAGTTGCACTGACCTAGCCTAATTGTCGCTCTTCTCAGTGAAGGGTAGAAAGTGATTAGCAAGGTTTCTCTCTTGCAGATCTCAATGCTGGCCCTTGCATGCATCAGACGAGCTTAGGATGTTGAGGGAGAAATCACAATAGTTATAGTTCGAATGCTTCTTCAAGGGTTTTTTTTTTTGGTATAGTTATTTTCAGAAGAATCATCCTGAAATTTGAATCTTGCTTCTATGTAGATATTTTCTCAATGATTTCTGGAAGGTTGTCCTCAATTGACAAGATATATTGTAATTGTCCAAGCACAATACATTCATAATTTAGCATGGTGCTTAGGCAGGTGCTTAACTTTAAGCATATGAACAGTCCCAGGACTGTACCAAGTGTGTTCCTACCTTCAGGCACATAAATAGTCATTGGACTCCATACATAGTGCCTTGCTGAATGAGGGCTCATATTTCCTGTGGTCAGGACACAAATATGCTATGTCGTCTTCATGATGAACAAACCAGCAAGTTCATACAATAGCTTTGCTGTAAGTGGCTTGAAAGTGCTGACAGCCACAAAAAAGCCCATCTAAGTATGGAAACTGAGGCACTTACGTATTGCTACACCCCAAATTCAATTTGGGGCATAGCGAAGTTCAGAATGAAGGAGGGGTCCTTTAAATGTTGATTAATTTGAAAAACCTGACTAAGAAGCAAATCATCTTAGATACTTGTTTAGTCTTAAGTGGCCATACCCAAGGTACTTAATTTCCTTAGTTATTCTAGGATCGCTGATAACTCGGCCTTATCTTGTCCTGTACTGGTGCTTGCTGGGGTTCCTTAGAGGTCTGCCAGTGAGTCTAATAGTGACATGCAACCTTTTTAACAGTCTTTAATAAAAAAGGAGGGGAAAAATACTAACAATTCACCTACAAGTAATAAAAAGTAGAGATTAAGTGTAAGTAAACCATTTTGATTTTCTAGTAATTTAGGATACAGTAAAAAACAATATACAAAATCAAAAGGAATACAAGTTACATGTCCAGACTTTACATCTCATTAGCACGGGCCTACCTAATTTGTGACAGCTGCCCACTGATTTCATGTGCAAAATGAGGGGCCCAGCAGTCATTTTGCAGGCAGAGAGTAGAGGGTCTCCCACACTCTGGCCAAGGGGCCCTAGCAGTTCTGCCCCTTGCTGCTGATTGCCTGCAACGGCTGCCTGCCCCTCGCTACTGATGGGCCATGAGCTGTCTGTCATGTAGCTCCGCCCCCACCACCAATTATTGGAAAGGGGTGGGGCCACATGACAGGCAGCTGTACAGCTCATCATCAGTGAAGGGCGGGGACAGCAGCTATCTTGCCGGCAGCCCTTTGTGTGGGCATCCCCACTTCCCTCTTTCCTACCCAGGCAGGCTGTTGCAATGCTCGGAGGACTGCTGGCTCCCTCTGGGGGGCCAGCATTTTATATTCTATCAGCCCCCCTGCCATGGATTTCATGGGTTTTGCCTGGATTTCATGGAATCTGTGAAATCGCAAATTCAGTAGGTCCCTACTCATTAGATTAGGTAATTTATAGGCTGTATCAGAGAGAGAGAGAGACAGTCACTGGCTGGGATAGATTAGCTAAACATTTTCCATTCCAGAATTATGGCTGGGGGGACTTGCTGATTAGCAGTTTACTTTTTGACTGCCAGTTTCTAAGAGCTCACATCCTGATATCTGCATATCAGCATTTAATAAGACCAAGCATTGCACTGGATGCCTTGAGAAAAGTCTTGACTGTTGCATAAATAATCTCTTCTCTGTCCTTCCTTAAATTCTCCTGGAATGGCTGTTATCTTTCTTTATGAGAGAGATTCAGATATTCATTGGCTGGTAGTCCAAACATTCAGCATCATTATTACAGAGGCTTTTACTGGACAAACTGTCACCCTTCCCTTGAAAGCCCAAGATTTTTATGCTGTTACCTTATTGCAACTGGCTCCTACTTTATCAGCCGTTTACAAATGGTGCAGGGTTTCCACACAACCACAAACTCCTTGGCAGAACTCGCTCTCCTTAGGAAATCACATTACAGCAAGATGAGGAAGAGAAAAGGCTGTATCTAAGATGCTGTGGTCTTAGAAGGCAAAGGCTGGCTGGCTTTCATTTTTTATAAGTGATTAAGGAGTGGACGGAAACAGTCCCAGGCCTGATACTTTTATTAATGTTATAAAGGGGGAGACAACAATGGAAAAGGCTACAGAGTACAAAGAAAACAACAAAAAATGATGGTGATTTATTTTATTAGAAAGTGCCAAAAATGCACTGAGCTTAAAAGAGTCTTATCTGTCAGTGTTTGGAAAGGGCAGAATGGTAAATGGTATGTGTGTGCATGCCTGGTTGCATCTTCATGAGCAGAAGTACCTCCATAGTTATTCCATAGTTATATAGCAAACATGGCAAATATGTCTCCCCCAAAACAAAAAAAATAACTAAAATGGATTATTTAGAATGAGAAGTAAATTAGAGAGGATGCTTTAGGATTAGAGGACAGATTACAGCATGACGAATAGGTCCAAGGAGGTGATAGCATGACGAATAGGTCCAAGGAGGTGATACTTCCCCTCTATCGGGCGCTGGTCAGACCGCAGTTGGAGTACTGCGTGCAATTCTGGGCGCCGCAATTCAAGAGGGATGCGGATAACCTGGAGAGGGTCCAGAGAAGGGCCACTCGTATAGTTAAGGGCCTGCAGACCAAGCCCTACGACGAGAGACTAGAGAAACTGGACCTTTTCAGCCTCTGCAAGAGAAGGTTGAGAGGCGACCTTGTGGCTGCCTATAAGTTCATCACGGGGGCACAGAAGGGAATGGGTGAGTATTTATTCACCAAGGCGCCCCCGGGGGTTACAAGAAATAATGGCCACAAGCTAGCAGAGAGCAGATTTAGATTGGACATTAGGAAGAACTTCTTCACAGTTCGAGTGGCCAAGGTCTGGAACGGGCTTCCAAGGGAGGTGGTGCTCTCCCCTACCCTGGGGGTCTTCAAGAGGAGGTTAGATAACCATCTAGCTGGGGTCATCTAGACCCAGCACTCTTTCCTGCCTATGCAGGGGGTCGGACTCGATGATCTATTGAGGTCTCCTGCCTATGCAGGGGGTCGGACTCGATGATCTATTGAGGTCCCTTCCGACCCTAACATCTATGAATCTATGAATTAGACAACCCTTTAAAGAACAGATTTCTCCACACATGGGGTATCCTACTTTGAGATTGTTCCAGTGAGCTTTTCATATTCTGTCTTGTAGGAAAATCAAGACCAACTATTTTATTGTCTCACTTGCCTTCGCGGACCTGCTGGTTTCAGTGGTGGTGATGCCATTTGGAGCTATTGAACTGGTTGAGAATAACTGGATTTATGGAGAGATGTTCTGCCTGGTTCGAACATCTCTAGATGTCCTCCTCACCACAGCATCAATCCTTCACCTCTGCTGTATTTCATTAGACAGGTATGAACAGAAAGATATGTAAAGGCAAATGCTCTAATCATCTGTTTCTTCAGTCACATGCCATATCATTAAGTTTGTAGAGAAAGTGGCATATCAAAGAAGCTTGTCTCAGCTGGAAGGTATACATGAACATGCTATGTGATGTATAGCAGGGCAGCTGATAACCTTTAGCTGGTAATAGAACACTTCAGCACTGCAGTGAGGTGTGGAAAAATGCAAATTATATTGATTAGATGTATGGATTAGATCCTCACTCAGCTGATGCAAACAGTTTCATTGAGTTCATCAGCTGAATTTGGCTCAGTGTCTCTCAAGAGCCCTGGGTCTATGCATTTTTAAAAAGAAAGAGATACCTGTAGTCTGTATTGTAGAAGTATTGCTACGGGGGCAAGGGGGAGGCTGAGCAGTGCCTGCCCTTACCCCACTCCCTCCCTTACCACAGGGGCCTCACAAGGCAAAGGTACACAAAATTAGTATCTGGCTTTATATCTGCAATAGTGTTCCCTTGACGTGTTTAAAGTACAATCAAAACTTCTCTTTCCAATATTTTCAGCCATGTAGCTGCATTAAAATGGTTCTATGACTGACTACAAAATTGTGAGAAGGAAAAAAAACTGCACAACAAAATGTCTATAATGCCTGATGTTCCAAAGCATCATTGTTCACTTTCACATTTCATCCTTAGTGAATAATGTGTAGGGATAGTTAAACAAATTCAGATTTTTGTGGGTGAAATAAAATTTCAACACTTGTTGTAACATTTGCCTTTCCTGTGAAAAAAACAGAAATGAAAATTCAAATAATTTTACCGAAAGCCAAACATTTTCTACAAAAAGTTTTAATTTTTGTTACGAGTTTTTAATTGCAACAACAGGCATTTTCAACTTAGAATTTTGTATTCTTGTTTGGCAAGCCATTTTTATTGAAAAAAATGTTTAGATGAAAAAAAAAATTGACTAGCTGTATTAATAAAGCAATATTTAAATTTTCCAATCTTGGTTTTAAGGAAGGAAGAACTATGTTAATTTATTATTGCTACAAATAATAATGATGATGACGACGACAAGTAATGCTTATAACATGTCTTTCATCCAAAGATGAAGATCAAGCTTTGCAAGATAATAAAATTGTGGATTCTGTTCATGTTGCACACTAGTTATTTAACAGTACACAGAAACCATATGCAACAGTTCAGCATTGCAAGTGAAAAGTAATACTGTATCTAACTGAATCAAGGGGGACACTTGGATAATCTAAATATATTTCCTGCCGCCTTGCAGTTCTGGCTGGCTGGCTTGTGAATGGGAAGCTTGTTGCCTGAGGAAGGCTTGCAGGTTTCCATCCTGATCTGATTAACAAGTAGATATTAGGCACTGAGCTCTGGAAATTGAAATGATAAAGAGTTGCCAAGGTAGCCAGTTAAATCCTCCAGCCTTATATTTAACACAGTGGAGTCATACAGATCGGAGAACATGGAAAGCATTCTGTTAGCCCCTGAAAACTCGGTGACAATCCCCAGTGAAAATGGCTCTTTCCTTTATTCATCTCTCTGAAGCTCTTGCATCCACTTTACATCTGTTGCACTATAGTTTCCACTTTTTTTGTAGGCCGCCTCAAATGCCATGAAATTGTCTAGGGTTTAAAGCCAATGAGGAAAGTGCTGAGACTCCTTGAGCAACAAGCAGAGTTTTTGTTTCTCACTAGCAGCGCAAGAGCAGCTGTGTTTAAGTCACTGTTGGGTCAGTTGCTGTAAAGATGTGTAGCTAGATGGTAATATTTTAGTGACACAGATCATGTAGTGATCACAGTTTTATACGGAGAGATGTTCTTGTAAACAAGTTCAAGGCTCAATAAAACAGTGAGTGCTAAAAGATGCACTAGACATCAGGTTAAAAAGCTTCTGCCATCAGCTGCTAAGGACTTGGGTCTATGAAAAAAAGACCAAGATTAATTTGATTTTACATTAAACAGTCATTGTAGAATCACTTTTGAAAGTAGGAGAGAGGTAGGCTTTCTATCCCACTCTGTCCTCCAGTTGAGTGCTCTAACCTAGAGAACCACACTCCCCGTTGTGAGCTCTCTCTCTCTTTCCATCTCCTCCCAAATAGTTTTCTGCACAGTGGCACAGCTTCAGTAGGGTGGGTGGAAAGACCCATTTCAGAATAGACTGTAACCTGGTGGTTAGCATGTTGTCCTTTGAGCTCGGAAAGGGAAACTTAAAGATATTCAAGTAGGAAAGAGAAATGAATTAGTCATCTACATCTTGGACAACTGCTCTCAGCCCTGGGTTTTACACACATGGAGACCTGTTGGCCTTGCCACCACCCTCTTCTCCTCTCACCACTTGAAGGACAGTATCAGATGCCACTTCATCTTGTTGGAAACCCAGTCCTGCTGGTGCATGTTAGGTATGTCCTGTCAAAGCTGAGCAGAAGTTTCAGATGTGGAGGGAATATCAGTCACAAACAGCAGCAGAGAGTCAGGGATTGGCAGCAGCTGAGTAGGGTTTTTAAAACTGTAGTTGTAAGTTTACACATCTAAAGTCTGTGCAAGTCCTACTTTATGTGCCTGAGTGCTTTTGGGAAAATTATGGGATGGACAAAAACAGTGGAGACCAACTAAGTGAGCTACCTGACTTAGGGCCTGATTTTGCAAAGTGGTGGCAGCCATCGGTTTCCCAGTGGGATTCTAGGCCACTCAGCAGTTCACATGTTTGAGCTGTATGGCAGTATCATCTCACGTAAAATATCAGCAAGAAAAGATGTAAGGAAACAGCCATGGGCTTCTATGGTCAAATTATCCTGTTTTTTCATATTGCATTTACTGCAGATTTTAATCTATTATGTGCACATGATACTCATCTGCTTTTTGAGAATTTAGATTAAACTAGATGCACCCTGGTTTAAAAGACCCAAATTCACCTCTATCAGGTGCAGAATTGACAGAAATAAACTGTTTGGGATCCCTTGGAAACTGTTCTAAACCGCAGAGCTCCAAGAGGGATCCTATAATATATAACATTAGACTAAACAGCAGTCTAATTGTTTGAGAAGAACCAGAAGGCAATGGAAAACTAAAGGAGCTATGAGTGTGCTGAAATTCTGTCCAGGGTTAAGACTGTGGATATAGAGCTGCTATGACTGAAACAGATCACTGCTCTCTTTTCCTTTTTGCTATTGTCAGGTTTGTCAATGCCAGATATTGCTGCTGGGAGAAGTCACTCTCTTGCTCCCCATATACTTGCTGTTCTTTGCTCTGAAATTAGAGGAACATGAAAAGGAATAAGCTGTCTAGGCTAACTTGAATACAGCCTGACACTGATAATCATCACAGCATTTATCTGCCGCTCAGTGCCTTCATGCCAAGAGAATGAGGTTTCTGCGGCACTTGTTCTACGTCTGATCTGTATTTCATGTAATTTGCTGGCGTTATGATTTTCTTGATTCCCTTGTCAAAATGGCTTTCAGAAGTGCTTTTAAAATCAGTGACCACTACAGACAACACCATTATCACAGCATTAGGAGAAGCAGCCCTGTGAGAGGCTGTTCTTCTGCAAAGGCACCTGAATTTGCCATAGAAACTTTTCTTTGTTTATTCTCTTAGTCTCTCTCTAATGTATATCTCTCCCTTCCTCTAGATCATGTTTTGGAATTTTACTGGGGTTACTACCTTGTCTAAATTCCATGAGAAATCCTGGGTCAATGCAATCAATAGGAGTTTAGGCACAGAAACCAGTAAACAATGTAACAATACATTATTTATCCCTGAACAAGCGGACACAAACTTTGTTCACCCACAGGGCACATCATCTGAGACAAACAAAGGAACAGGTCTGGCTAATGAGGAATGAAGAATCCCAGTCAACTAGCTGTTTCCAAACTTATTTATCAATAAGTTGGTCAAGTTTCTAGAGAAATCAGCCTGAATCATTTGTATTGCAAAAATCTGCACTCCATGAATCACAGACATCGGGCTTACTAAGGACAACATCATTTACTTTAGTGAGTAGCATAAGGTGTGCGTGTGTGGGGCATCACTCCTGTGAGAAGATGTGTCAGAATTGTCGATGCATATCATAAGGCATTAGATGTTAGAGTCCCTTCCCAAAGCCATAAAGATGTGACAGCATCCTCTTTTGGCCACGTATTTGCCTCTAATGAAATGCTGGTGAGTTTTGCTGAACTGCCACAAATGAAAATGGTATGGAACTGGATCAGTGAAAGCCCTTTTTCAATCTTCTCTAGTGAGTATAACTACAAATCTTATTTTGTAGCTTTATCTCTTTAGAGATGAGTGACAGAGGCTGGGTTTTCTCATTACATTTATTATATCAGTTTAACAAAGTAGCAAATTTTTGTTCCACACTTAGGATGCTGCAGTAATCTAACACTAGACTGGACAAAGCATCTGACAGGTTGCTCTAAAGGACAATCTGACTCTGGCTGGCTGACAAAATGGAATGACTGTGTGAAGGCCCTTTCTATTTCTAATAACTTCTATATTCATTGGTGTTCAAGAAAGTGCATCAAGAGACTCTCCTCCTTAACTAACTACCATTATTTATACAGTATTTGTTTGCTCATGTGGACTTAGCTATGTGATCTAGAAGCCTTTGATACAACTGGAAATGGTATTCATCCCCCAGTGTAATATAATAATAAGTAGTTTTCCAGCACCCAAAATGTAGATGAATGCTACTTGCAGATTAACAACCCTCAAACCGTTCACCTACCCAGAATACAGTACATAAAGTCCAGGAACACATTTTGGCTGCGTCCAGATGAGCACAGACCTTTGTCTCCCCAAGGACAAGTAGCAGCAGCACACCTTGTGCTACTGCTACTTGTCCTTGGGGAATGCCCATTCCACATGCACTTTGGCATGTGGCAGGTTACCCGGGGGGGAGGGAGATAGGGGAGGCTGGGGCAAGCAACTGTTCTGGCCTCAGCAGCCTTACTTGGGATCCTGGGGGCCTCCCGGGGCTGCAGCCATGTCAGGAA